CGCCTTTTAGGCGGCTTGGGTTGTGCTCTCTTCTACCGCCTATTAGGCAGCTTCAGTTGTGCACTCTTCTTGGACCAATTGGACAGCTTGGGTTTTGCACTCTTCTGGCACCTATTAGGCAGCTTCAGTTGTGTACTCTTCTAACACCTGTTGGACAGCTTGGGTTGTGCACTCTTCATGGACCTATTAGGCAGCTTGGGCTGTGTACTCTTCTCGCGCCTATTGGACAGCTTTGGTTGTGCACTCTTCTTGCACCTATTGGACAGCTTGGGTTGTGGGCTCTTCTACCGCCTATTAGGCAGCTTGAGTTGTGCACTCTTCTAGCGCCTATTGGACAGCTTGGGTTGTGCTCTCTTCTTGCACCTATTGGACAACTTGGGTTGTGGGGCTCTTCTAGCAACTATTAGGCAGCTTGGGTTGTGCACTCTTCTAGCACCTAGTGGGCAACTTGGGTTGTGGGCTCTTCTAGCACCTATTAGGCAGCCTGGGTTGTGCACTCTTCTAGCACCTAGTGGGCAACTTGGGTTGTGCACTCTTCTAGCACCTATTAGGCAGCTTGGGTTGTGCACTATTCTAGGACCTATTAGGCAGCTTGGGTTGTGCACTCTTCTAGCACCTAGTGGGCAGCTTGGGTTGTGCACTCTTCAAGCACCTAGTGGGCAGCTTGGGTTGTGCACTCTTCTAGCACCTCACGGGCAGCTTGGGTTATGCACTCTCCTAGCACCTATTGGACAGCTTGGGTTGTGCTCTCTTCTAGGACCTATTGGTCAGCTTCGGTTGTGCACTCTTCTAGCACCTAGTGGGCATCTTGGGTTGTGGGCTCTTCTAGCACCTATTAGGCAGCCTGGGCTGTGCACTCTTCAAGCGTCTTTTAGGCAGCTTGGGCTGTGTATTCTAGAGCCTATTGGACAGCTTGGGCTGTGGGCTCTTCTAGCACCTGTTGGACAGCTTGGGCTGTGCTCTCTTCTAGGACCTATTGGTCAGCTTTGGTTGTGCACTCTTCTTGGACCTATTGGTCAGCTTCGGTTGTGCACTCTTCTAGCACCTGTTGGACAGCTTGGGCTGTGCTCTCTTCTAGGACCTATTGGTCAGCTTTGGTTGTGCACTCTTCTAGCACCTGTTGGACAGCTTGGGTTGTGGGCTCTTCTAGCACCTATTGGACAGCTTGGGCTGTCATCTCTTCTTGGACCTATTGGTCAGCTTCTGTTGTGCACTCTCCTAGCACCTGTTGGACAGCTTGGGTTGTGGGCTCTTCTACTGCCTATTAGGCAGCTTCGGTTGTGCACACTTCTAGCACCTATTGGACAGCTTAGGTTTTGCACTCTTCTGGCACCTATTAGGCAGCTTCAGTTGTGCACTCTTCTAGCACCTAGTGGGCAACTTGGGTTGTGGGCTCTTTTAGCACCTATTGGACAGCTTGGGTTGTGCACTCTTCATGGCCCTATTAGGCAGCTTGGGCTGTGTACTCTTCTAGCGCCTATTGGACAGCTTGGGTTGTGGGCTCTTCTACAGCCTATTAGGCAGCTTGGGTTGTGCACTCTTCTTGGACCTATTGGACAGCTTGGGTTTGCGCTCTTCTGGCACCTGTTAGGCAGCTTCAGTTGTGCACTCTTCTAGCACCTATTAGGCAGCCTGGGCTGTGCACTCTTCTAGTGTCTTTTAGGCAGCTTGGGCTGTGTACTCTTCTAGCACCTGTTGGACAGCTTGGGTTGTGCACTCTTCATGGACCTATTAGGCAGCTTGGGCTGTGTACTCTTCTCGCGCCTATTGGACAGCTTTGGTTGTGCACTCTTCTTGCACCTATTGGACAGCTTCGGTTGTGGGCTCTTCTACCGCCTATTAGGCAGCTTGGGTTGTGCACTCTTCTAGCGCCTATTGGACAGCTTGGGTTGTGCTCTCTTCTTGGACCTATTGGTCAGCTTTGGTTGTGCACTCTTCTAGCACCTGTTGGACAGCTTGGGTTGTGCACTCTTCTTGCACCTATTGGACAGCTTGGGTTGTGGGGCTCTTCTAGCACCTATTAGGCAGCTTGGGTTGTGCACTCTTCTAGCACATAGTGGGCAACTTGGGTTATGGGCTCTTCTAGCACCTATTAGGCAGCCTGGGCTGTGCACTCTTCTAGCGTCTTTTAGGCAGCTTGGGCTGTGTACTCTTTTCGCGCCTATTGGACAGCTTGGTTTGTGGGCTCTTCTAGCACCTATTGGACAGCCTGGGCTGTGCACTCTTCTAGCGTCTTTTAGGCAGCTTGGGCTGTGCACTCTTCTAGCACCAATTAGACAGCTTGGGCTGTGCACTCTTCTAGGACCTATTAGGCAGCTTGGGTTGTGCACTCTTCTTGGACCTATTAGGCAGCTTGGGCTGTGCGCTCTTCTAGTGCCTATTGGACAGCTTGGGCTGTGCACTCTTCATGGACGTATTAGGCAGCTTTGGTTGTGCACTCTTCTAGGACCTATTAGGCAGCTTGGGTTGTGCACTCTTCTAGGACCTATTGGTCAGCTTCGGTTGTGCACTCTTCTAGCACCTAGTGGGCATCTTGGGTTGTGGGCTCTTCTAGCACCTATTAGGCAGCCTGGGCTGTGCACTCTTCAAGCGTCTTTTAGGCAGCTTGGGCTGTGTATTCTAGAGCCTATTGGACAGCTTGGGCTGTGGGCTCTTCTAGCACCTGTTGGACAGCTTGGGCTGTGCTCTCTTCTAGGACCTATTGGTCAGCTTTGGTTGTGCACTCTTCTTGGACCTATTGGTCAGCTTCGGTTGTGCACTCTTCTAGCACCTGTTGGACAGCTTGGGCTGTGCTCTCTTCTAGGACCTATTGGTCAGCTTTGGTTGTGCACTCTTCTAGCACCTGTTGGACAGCTTGGGTTGTGGGCTCTTCTAGCACCTATTGGACAGCTTGGGCTGTCATCTCTTCTTGGACCTATTGGTCAGCTTCTGTTGTGCACTCTCCTAGCACCTGTTGGACAGCTTGGGTTGTGGGCTCTTCTACTGCCTATTAGGCAGCTTCGGTTGTGCACACTTCTAGCACCTATTGGACAGCTTAGGTTTTGCACTCTTCTGGCACCTATTAGGCAGCTTCAGTTGTGCACTCTTCTAGCACCTAGTGGGCAACTTGGGTTGTGGGCTCTTTTAGCACCTATTGGACAGCTTGGGTTGTGCACTCTTCATGGCCCTATTAGGCAGCTTGGGCTGTGTACTCTTCTAGCGCCTATTGGACAGCTTGGGTTGTGGGCTCTTCTACAGCCTATTAGGCAGCTTGGGTTGTGCACTCTTCTTGGACCTATTGGACAGCTTGGGTTTGCGCTCTTCTGGCACCTGTTAGGCAGCTTCAGTTGTGCACTCTTCTAGCACCTATTAGGCAGCCTGGGCTGTGCACTCTTCTAGTGTCTTTTAGGCAGCTTGGGCTGTGTACTCTTCTAGCACCTGTTGGACAGCTTGGGTTGTGCACTCTTCATGGACCTATTAGGCAGCTTGGGCTGTGTACTCTTCTCGCGCCTATTGGACAGCTTTGGTTGTGCACTCTTCTTGCACCTATTGGACAGCTTCGGTTGTGGGCTCTTCTACCGCCTATTAGGCAGCTTGGGTTGTGCACTCTTCTAGCGCCTATTGGACAGCTTGGGTTGTGCTCTCTTCTTGGACCTATTGGTCAGCTTTGGTTGTGCACTCTTCTAGCACCTGTTGGACAGCTTGGGTTGTGCACTCTTCTTGCACCTATTGGACAGCTTGGGTTGTGGGGCTCTTCTAGCACCTATTAGGCAGCTTGGGTTGTGCACTCTTCTAGCACATAGTGGGCAACTTGGGTTATGGGCTCTTCTAGCACCTATTAGGCAGCCTGGGCTGTGCACTCTTCTAGCGTCTTTTAGGCAGCGGGCTGTGTACTCTTTTCGCGCCTATTGGACAGCTTGGTTTGTGGGCTCTTCTAGCACCTATTGGACAGCCTGGGCTGTGCACTCTTCTAGCGTCTTTTAGGCAGCTTGGGCTGTGCACTCTTCTAGCACCAATTAGACAGCTTGGGCTGTGCACTCTTCTAGGACCTATTAGGCAGCTTGGGTTGTGCACTCTTCTTGGACCTATTAGGCAGCTTGGGCTGTGCGCTCTTCTAGTGCCTATTGGACAGCTTGGGCTGTGCACTCTTCATGGACGTATTAGGCAGCTTTGGTTGTGCACTCTTCTAGGACCTATTAGGCAGCTTGGGTTGTGCACTCTTCTAGGACCTATTAGGCAGCTTGGGCTGTGCACTCTTCATGGACCTATTAGGCAGCCTGGGTTGTGCACTCTTCTAGGACCTATTAGGCAGCTTGGGTTGTGCACTCTTCTAGCGCCTATTAGGCAGCTTGGGCTGTGCACTCTTCATGGACCTATTAGGCAGCCTGGGTTGTGCACTCTTCTAGGACCTATTAGGCAGCTTGGGTTGTGCACTCTTCTAGCGCCTATTGGACAGCTTGGGTTGTGCTCTCTTCTTGGACCTATTGGTCAGCTTGGGTCGTGCACTCTTCTAGCACCTGTTAGACAGCTTGGGTTGTGTTCTCTTCTTGCACCTATTGGACAGCTTGGGTTGTGGGCTCTTCTACCGCCTATTAGGCAGCTTGGGTTGTGCACTCTTCTAGGACCTATTAGACAGCTTGGGTTGTGCACTCTTCTAGCGCCTTTTAGGCAGCTTGGGTTGTCACCCAGATCCACTTAATAGGGATGGAGTTTGTGGGCTCTCTTCATTGTTAATAAGACCAGTGAAAAACTGAATTAGAACAGGTCTTCAGCAACCCATGCTTGTCATAAGAGGCGACTATGCTTGTCATAGGGGCGGTTAACAGGATCGGGTGGTCTGGTTCAGTGACTTGGTTGATATATGTAAATCATTTCTCAATTGTGTTGATCAATGCTCATGGCATCACTGGATTGTCGGGTCAAGACTTGATTATTTACAGAGCACAATCAATTAGCTGGAGTGCTGAGTGCAGCATTAAACAACAAACAAAGAAGAAGAAACTACACAAATTACACATATATACTCTGATAAGCAGTCTATATTTCTGGTTAAGGCAACAATACAACAGCATACAACTTAACATTGTGATCAGGTAATAGAGTACAGCAGTTGAATGATATATACACAACTCGCAGCTTTTATACTAATGTAGTATGTACAAAATGTGCATCATACTGTGTCTTTGAAAGCAGTTCATCCTTGAGTCTGTAATAAGTCCTACGTGTGAGCAATTGTTACACAAACCACTGCTTTGGGAATGTGTAGGGGTAGATGGTTGAGTCCTGCAACTCCAGGGATACAACCCCGAAGTGCTTCTAGCCACTCCATAAAATGCAGAATTCATAGATGTTTCAGGAATATTCAAGCCAGGATGGGGAGCCAGTTGTTTGTGCTGGTATTAATTCAACAATGATATCCAAACACATTGGTATACATTGAGTGAGACTAAACTAACCAAGCATTCACTGATTAAGTATCGCGATACATAAATGTTACATGAAAGGCATAATGTTTACAAAATAATTCCTATTTCACTGGAATGCAGAGAATGCAGGGGCAGAGTTAAGATGTCAGGTATAGTTTGCAGAGAAAAGCCAGAGGCTTTCGAAGCAGGGAGATACACTACATGAACTATTAGCCAGATTGAGTCTGTCACTGCAAGACTGCACCACTTCCTGTGTACATGTAACCACATGCTGAAACACCAGTTCCTGTCTACATGTAACCGCATACTGAAGCGCCACTTCCTGTGTACATGTAACCACACGCTGAAGCACCACTTCCTGTGTGCATGTAACCACATATTGAAGCACCACTTCCTGTGTGAATGTAACCACATGCTGAAGCACCACTTCCTGTGTGCATGTAACCACACGCTGAAGCACCACTTCCTGTGTACATGTAACCACATGCTGAAGCACCACTTCCTGTGTATATGTCACCACATGCTGAAGCACAACTTCCTGTGTGCATGTAACCACACGCTGAAGCACCACTTCCTGTGTACATGTAACCACATGCGGAAGCACCACTTCCTGTGTACATGTAACCACATGCTGAAGTACCACTTCCTGTGTACATGTAACCACATGCTGAAGCACCACCTCCTGTGAACATGTAACCACATGCTGAAGCACCACTTCCTGTGTACATGTAACCACATGCTGAAGCACCACTTCCTGTGTACATGTCACCACATGCTGAAGCACCACCTCCTGTGAACATGTAATCACATACGGAAGCACCACTTCCTGTGTACATGTAACCACATGCTGAAGCACCACTTCCTGTGTACGTGTAACCACATGCTGAAGCACCACTTCCTGTGTATATGTCACCACATGCTGAAGCACCACTTCCTATGTACATGTCACCACATGCTGAAGCACCACTTCCTGTGTACATGTCACCACATGCTGAAGCACCACTTCCTGTGTACATGTAACCACATGCTGAAGCACCACTTCCTGTGTACATCACCACATGCTGAAGCACCACTTCCTGTGTACATGTAACCACATGCTGAAGCACCACTTCCTGTGTATATTTTCTCATTGTGCCCCACATGCAAGAGTCAGGACATGCTCCTGCAATGATATATGCCAACAACACTGGAGACAATGTTAAGGAATATGTTCAATGGATGCAACAGACATTATCCAATTGAGCCTACACATGCAGCTGAGTGTCATACTGGCAAACTCTCAACAGATTGACCATCCAGCATTTATTTAAGAAATAAATGACGATTGGAATTTGTTCATTGTACAATAAAACACAGCAGGGAGAATAAACAATGAGGGGCGCAACCCCAAGTGGTTTATTCTCCCTGCTGTGTTTTATTGTACGATAAACAACGACCTTGAGTTGTTTATTTCTTAAATAGTGGACATATCCTTAACAGATAGACCGAACAAAAATATGTTGTAAACCTTGGTCAGAATGTTGGTCAGCATGTGAAACTGTCTTCTCTCTCAAACACTTCTATGTGGAAGTCTACAAAATCATTGAAAGCTGGAGAGAGAACACATTAAATCTTTCACATTACTATTCAGATTCTTTATATAAAAGGGAGTAATTTCAAGATCTAACAAAACTCCAATTTCTCCATACAGGCAAGACATATGGTATAACTACAAGGTCAAGGCTGTTAAACTGTGAGAGAGCGAAAAGTTCAATCTTTCTCAATGCCTTTACTCAGCTACTTTTCTGGTCCTTGTAAGACATGTGATAATGGACATACCATGGATAAGGTATAGTAAGATTCATGAATGCTGGTTATTTCTATTAGATAAATAATATATTTCTGCTGCTACATTAGTTTTATTCTCACCACAGCATATTCTTTTTTTCCTTTGAGTCATATCAACATATAAACATATCCAGTCAGCCTGTAGTTTGTTCTGCTTGAACAAGTTGTAACACCCTACTAGTTTTAAAAACAAATAATAAATATTTCCACAGCCTGATTGGAGAGCAGGTAGTTTTCTGAATCTGATGACTGAAACACTGTAAGCCATCATTGTCTTTGTCTGTAGTGTCCTTTCAGATTTTCCAGTCATCATCATTGGTTTGAGGCAGCTGATACAGAGAGAGTCTGAGGGCCCGCTGACGCTTCTGTAGTCCACTCTGTACTGCGTGAAGGACAACTCGATCTTCGGCCGTCAGAGACGGAGCATTGCGGAGTGAGTGAGGGGACTGAGACCGACTCCGCACATCCTGGGGCATTTGTTTCTTCACTCTAGTCACTGACCTTGACCTTTCATGAGCATTTGCACCAGGTTTGGTATGATACACCATTGTCATTCTTGGTGTGTAAGTTGACTGCCGGGGAATGTAGAGATTTGGACTGTGTTTGGTATACGTTGTTGAAACATGATGTCTGCTGCCCCAGGCATCCTGGAGGTAGTGGTGGACATCACCTCTCCAACCATGGGTGACTGTACCGTTGTTGTCTGCTAGGTTTGATGACACAGTTCTTCCAGGGAGTTGTTGATGCAGGTCATGGTTGTTGATGTCTCGAGTGGGATATCGGGGAGTAGAAGAGGCAAAGAAGGTGTCTGGTGGTGATGATGGTGATGATGGTGAAGTGAGTTGGATCGGTGTGAACACTTCATCACTGAAATTGAAAACACAGTGAACATTGGATATTACTGATGAGGGGTTATCTAATGTTTGGAGACATCTCACTCTGGCAGATGTGACGTAGTAGTGACAAAATGAAAATCTTAGTAAGGTTATTTATATGAAATACTTTCCTTTGTATGGTAAAGTAAACCCTCTGTATGAAAGTTTGCAGTTGTGTTGGTATTTATATATTTCCAAGAGGTATTAAAACTTGTAAACAAATCCTAACAGTTTGGATATTTGCCTTCTTACCTTCCAAGTGTGTTAGTTCCAGTGTAGAGGGTGGGGTCGTTTTCTGAAATTAAAATCTCTTTTTTAAAGTGTGTTGACTAAAGTATTATCATGAGCATTAAGATGAACAGAAGTTTGGCAACAATTAATGTTCAAAACTGTAATAACTGTTGAAGACCTTAATGGTTGACATTAATATAATGGACTTTAGTATATATACATAAAGTATTAGAATCCGATATCTTTGCTATGTTTTAAATCGCCAACATGTCTAACCATAAATATTTCATTAATTACACCAAACTATTTCAATAATTATCTCTCAGGCGCTAGCATTTCATCTGACACCATGTAAACTAAGACTTAGTTTGGGAGTCCAAGTATCAATCTAAATAAAGTTTAAATTGCCACAATGTACCGGTAACCAAAGGACTATTCCCTGAAAATGCCATTGTCTACAGCACTAAACCTTGTATGACATACTTATAATTATCTAAATGCTGATATGGTTGGTCCACACAATCTCTGCTGTGATTGGTGAACTGTCCCAAAACAATGGTATGCTCTGTATACCAGTATGTTAGCTCAAATACTAAACAGTTCACGAAACTTGTTCTCGCTTCTAGAAACATGCTTGGTCCCTGATGTTCAGTTCCCTGGGAAGTCTATGTATGCTCACTATTGTTGTATATATTTGTACCGGTACTTGTATATATATGATGTTTATGTAAGTATATGAGTGTATATTGTACAGATTGCCCCTTGTCCTGACTAAATTACCCAGTGTCTTGCAGAATGGTGATCCCAGGACCAAAAGTATTAGCACATAATATCAGTGTGGTAACCTTTATTATATAATCCTCCAGTTTGTTATTATGGATAAACATATTGGGATGATCTAAATGATGAACTTAGTTGGTGAACTATGTTAATGCTATGGTGAACTGTAGTCATTTCGATGTTGATCACGCATTAAGTAATAAGCAGCTGGCAACCAACATATAGACGATTCATCACAAGTGTTTCTTTACAAAAAGTTCTGATTGGTGATTCCAATATACCATTCTCCTCATCTGTAAAGAATCTTGAACTACACATAGATTTAGATCTGAAAATGGAGAGCCTGCTCAACAATACCTGTAAAACATGCTACCATCATCTCAGATATTTAGGACCATTTCTTATCTCGGGAAGCCATGCATACTTGTTAGATGCTTAGTACAGTCATGACGAGACTACTGAAGTAGTATGTACTGTGGCTTACCAGATACCTTTCTAAACACTCCAGGTACACAACACTGGTGCCAGAATCATCAGTAGGACCACCGATCACATTGATCAGATATCACACCAGTTCTGCATCCTTTGCATTGGCAGACCATGTGAGCAAGAATAGAATTCAAGATTCATTCACCCACCCACCTGTGTTTTCATGAAACAAGTCCAAAGTATCTCTGTGATATACTATCCAGAACCTGCAGGATAATTGAAATCTGCCATTCTCAATCTCCAGAGAACACCGAAACATTACCTAAAATCACTCAGCTACCGTTCCTTCAGTTACACTGCTCCAGTTCTGTGGAACTCCACATTCAGCTCATACCAACATTGGCTTCCTTCAAACCCCATTTGAGGGGCGGTGAGGTAGCCTAGTGGTTAAAGCGTTCGCTCGTCACGCCGAAGACCCAGGTTCGATTCCCGACATGGGTACAATATGTGAAGCGCATTTCTGGTGTCCTCCGCCGTGATATTGCTGGAAAATTGCTAAAAGCGGCGTAAAACCATATTCACTCACTCACTCACTCAAACCCCATTTGGGGGCATGGGTGGCCCAGTCGTCTAAGGCGCCGCGATTCGCTGTGCAGAGTCCCTTGGTCACGCCAGAAACCTATGATTGTGGGTTGGAATCTTGCTTTGCCCCGATTATGTTTCTAGGTTTGTCAGCACCATACCCATGCTCGTGGGTTTCACCGAAGTGGTAAATGTCTGAGACATGCAACACTTTTGGCTTTCCTCCCACATTAAGCTGACACGGCGGGATTTAACTGGAATACTGTTAAAAGCGGCATTAAACCCAACTCACTCAGTCACTCAAAACCAATTTAAAATCCTTTTAGTACCCAAACCATTATCACTGCCTGTTTTCCATGCCTATTGTTCTGTCATTGTGTGTGTGTATGTGATGTATGTAATATCATGTTGTACTTTGAGCTGATACTAAGTGTCTGGAACTTTTAGCACAATGTGTATACATTATCATTATCATTATTATTATTATTATTATCATTATTATTATTATGGGAAATATGAACTGAGTTTGCAGGTATTTGCTAAGCCTTTTTCAAAGAAATACCCATCAGTGGGATGAGGTTAATATTTCCCATATTTAGAAACATGAGTGGTGGATTCTTTTATCATTTCCAGCTCACAGTTTTCCCCATTTAGAAACAAATACTCCAAAATTGTTGAAATATTACGTTAATTGTGCCAAGAGATATATTTATTCTTTTATAGCAGTGTATAGCAAAACAAGTAACACCATGACTCCTTGTGAAAAATTCCATCGCCTAGAAATAAGTGCTTGGAACTATTCAATAAAAAAATACTTGAATGATGTCTTGCAGCATATTTGAAACTATAAAAACAGTAATTACAATAAAAGCGATTATTCTGTTGTATATGAATATATCTGTGCTATAATTTCACAACCCTCTCACTTGCAGAACATCACAATGCCAGATAGGTCTCACTAGAACATTTCAATCAGTGTGACTGTCACTTTTGATGAAAATCCAGTGTTATTTGACTGGAACTGAACTTGGAGGTATTCCAAAATGATGTCATGTTTTCGATTATTTCCTTACCAGCAAACACAGTGCTGATCCACCAGAAAAGTGGACAACTTGAGATAGTTGTGGGCCACTAGATCTGTGTGACACAGGATAGTCAGGAACAAATCAAGCTGGGATGTTACCGTGTTCAGTGTGTTGGATGGAATGATTCCTGAAATTGATTTGCACATTTGTTTGTGCTCATCAGGATTTAGGTGACAGTAATTATTCTCAGAATGATTGTTCTTGTAACCAGGCATCTCTGTTTTAATTTGGTGGAACATTGTTTTCATTCAATTTTTGGATAAGGTGTGAACGTGCAAAGTGATTTGTAAGTTGTTTTGACGTCAAGAGCCTTGCTGCTGTGTACAGTTTTCATGACAGTGGATGATTTGATTTCTCTGATTTCTGATAAACCATACTGGTTGCAAGATTTGGGTATGAGGAAAGTGTGTGCTGATGTAAAACATCCATTGGTAAAAGTGTCACTTTCGGATGTCTGATGTGCATACTTCTGTCACCGGGGTGGGACGTACATGGTGGTTCACGTCAAAGGCTTGTATCAGGGGATAACTGCTTTAGTTACATGATAAATGAACTTACTCATGGAGGGGCATGAAAAAATGACACAGTTCTATATTTTCAAATAAATTACGACTCCCTTACCCAGATCAAAAAGTATTAATAAACATACTTTATGTTAAACATTTGAAAATATATTTTATATATGACATAACATAATACAATCTAATTAGAAACGCCAAAATATATCCCTTATCATCTGGACAGGAAAATGAAATATGAATAAAATAGCATGTAACAGACTACTCGACTTCTAGGGTGAGAAAGTGAAAAGATAAAAAGTTGAAACAATTCCATTTTAGATCATTTCAAGGCAAAAGACCCTTCAATTCCCTCTGGTGAGAGCTGAGACGATCCTCAAGCCGATGCCACAGTGCCTCCAGGAGGCTGTCAGCATCTTTGTGTCTTCACTGACATACCACAATGTCCAGAAAAGAGAATGTTGTCTATTTTGTATATTGTTTGTATTGTTGGTTTTTGAAAATTTTGTATTTCATCTGTGTATTTAGTAAGAGAATATATGGTGAAGGCGTAAGCATATACTCTGAAACGTTGTGTTCCTCATAATAAAGAAGTTGACATCCATATATTCTCTTCCTTATGTGTATCACTTCTAAATGCCTTTCAAAGACCCTTCATCTATGAAGTTTTAAAATATGTATGTATATACAAGATACGACAGTGAACCGCTATTATTTAAGAAATAAATGATGAGTGGCAGGCTGCGCCCCTCATGGTTTATTCTCCCTGCGGTGTTTTATTGTACGATAAGCAACGACCACCATAAGTCATGTATTTCTTATATGAGATATCAACATTTTGTACAGCATTTTTAAGGACGTCAATAACTTGTTCACGCTTTAAGAACATTTACCCGTATTTTAATAATGATGACTCCCTGAATACAATCCGACGACAAGCTCCTCACAGCGATATCCCATTCGCGGAGCTCTCTATACTGTCGCTGCCACCAGTGAAAGCTCCCCACTGTGGTAGGTGGCTACAACCATGCTTGGAGTTGAACTCGCAACAGACTGAAGGTTATGTTTACAAACAAGTGATGACTGCCATGACGCTGAATACTCTTACCCCTGCTAAATTATTTTCTTTGTTTGTCATGTACTATCATGTAATTGGTACAGTAAAGAATATAAGGGAGAATTTTGGTTGAACATCCATGGGGAACACCTCACTAATTTATGATGTCATCAAGTTGCGAGCGCCCGTTCGAATCTCCAGCAATGTTTAAGAAATTGACGACAGATTTCACTTGTGACTGAAAAGTTTGTTTCCCGAAGCCATTTGCATTCATAAGCCATTCATGTGCACACAAAATGTAACATCACTTTGATTCGTGGATTACATAGCAGATTATTGTATCGCAATATACGATAGCCCAGTAGCGCTAATGGGTAATAATTTTTTATAAATTCTAATCTATACCTACCAATTGACATTTCTGTGTCGGTAGATAACAGTTGAAAAAGATAGTTGTTCAACACACTGTCTCTAGAACTCCCAAAAGAATCTTGTCAATAAAGTATGTACACTATTTACAGGTGAGTTTGTGTTCCTACTCTACCGATGGTTTGCACGGCAGACCATGGCAAGTGCAATAAAATGTGTCATGAGTCGGAAGCACATGCACTGGACAACAATACTGTAAGTACACCCAGTGGTTACAGTCATGATACATCCACTGCCTCTTACTGTATGAAAAACAGTGATGTGCATTGGGCCAGTTCAGTGGGCTGAAAGTGATGACACACGCAACATGTTTCGTCATTGGATATTAGCGAATCCTCACTGTCACGGCTGTGTAATAGACTAATCATACCAGATGGTCCCGCTGCTGGCTCGATGGGACTTTTAGAAGGTTTGGCTGATGTATGTGACTTTGCTCGTTGTTTTTGGTTGGTATACTAACTGTTTAGAAGAAAAATTTTAACATAATTTTTAACTTGAATTTCGATCTCTGGTTCAGTTATGGCTTTGGATAGATCTGCGTGGTTTTCTTTGTTTCTTCTGAATGGGAAGTTGGTCAACAAAGAATTGGGTTTGATCAACATTAGTGACGAGATTTTCCTTCTCAGTGAAAGGGTTTGAACATGGGCTCTGTACATCGTCAGTAGCTGTTACTAGCTGCAACTTGTCTTCATCGAGTGATCCGTAGATACAAGCAGCTGTTTGGAAAGCTGATTTATCAATCCTATATGGCAAAAAGGGATAGATTCCAGACTTTCTGAATGCCGACTGCAGGTGCCTGGGCATTAGAGCAGCAGAATATGGCCTGCAGGCTATGGAGGCGATGTTATATCTGTTGACTGTGGTACCATCAGACTTTAACAGATTGTGACATTCGGCATTGTAAATCTTTTTAAAGGGACCCAAACCTTTTCACGTCCTTTGGCTGCAAAATATGACTCGTGTGTGCCATGAGGACAAACAACACAATGTTATGATCTTTTGCCCAGTCTATCAGAGATGGAGAAATGTGCGACTTGTGGTCATCGTACAGAAGAAGTAAATGTCTGGAGTTGCATATCATAGGAAGTGCTTCACTTTCCGCTGTACAGCCATCAAACAATTCACTGCTCATTCTAGAACCCACGAATACAAAGAAAGGTGGAAAAAATGTGCCCAGATCATTTCCACATCCCAAAAGTGTGACAACCTTTTATCCCTCGGAAGAAATCTTGTGGGCCACGGAGTTTCTTGAGCCAACAATTTTTGGTGCAATATGGGACTGGTTGATTCTAATCTATGTTATAAATAGCTTCTAGTCTTGATTTGAAACTGTAGTTGTCCATAATCATGGCAAATTCATCAAAATACTTCTTGATACATTCCTCTGAACTAGCCATGTCACAAAGTTCCATGAGAGATTTGGCACTCCTAACTTTCAACTCCGGCCATCACTCCAACAAACCATATAAACCACTTCACAGATAATAGTTGGGCCAGGTCACCTTTTCCTAACTGACAAGCAAAGTGGGACCTTAATTAGATAACCTCTTTCCTGTCACCCTACATCATGTGACTTATGTTTATTAACATCTGGACAAGCAGACAACAAGATGAAAGAATGGTGCTTATGGCATCGTGTAATATACACATGCACAAAAGTTAAGCGCCACCCACCATATTTGTGAGCTGTTACTTATGGCACTTAATGATGACTATTATAACGAGATGTACGATTGTTATTAGCCGTATATGTAAACCTCATGTGATGCAAAAGTTGTCCCAAAGCAAGTTTATCTTGTCTTCCAAAAGAATATGAGCAGAAAGGAATTTTACCAAAGACCAGAAATTGAAGCATTAGAAAACATTGAAAAACTTTTTTTTGTCATGTAACTGTCATGATATCAGCAGACCATATCAGGTGTCACATAGACACCCTAGGGAGTGCAGAGTCTATTGCAAGACAGAAACGTCAGTAACGTGCGTATTATCCACGGACATTGACCACAACTTCAACCTTACGCCTCATACTCATTACAAGTTGTTGAATGCTTCTCTGAGGCAAACGGATCCATTCTTCATGAAGTGCGGCTTCAAGTCTAGCGAGATTTTGAACTGGGGGATCACGATGTCTGATTTTCCGGCCAAGAATGTCCCAGAGATGCTCAATCAGATTAAGATCTGGACTACAGGCCGGCCAAGGAAGAGTGGCAATAGCTTCTTGACGCAAATAAGCCAAAACTGCCCGAGATCTGTGTGGTCTAGCTTTGTCGTCCATGTAAACAGGTCTTGTCTGAAGAGGATGGTTGTCAAAATGAGGGACTACCACTGGACAAAGAACGGCATCTTGGTATTGTTGGTCATTCAGGTTTCCACGAATTGTCACCAGCAGAAGTTTGCAGCCGAAGGAAACACAACCCCATATCATGACAGACCCCCCGCCACATGCTAAGGTCTTCTGGATGTTCCTTGGTGCAAAACGAGTGTTACGTTGCCTCCAAACACGTATTCGACCATCAACAGTTCGTAGCAGCATTCGATACTCGTCAGACCAATGGATCCTTCTCCAGTTGGCCAAGTTCCATCAACTACGGGCACGACACCATATCAGACGATTCGGCATGTGCCTCTCAGTCAGTTGAGGATGTTTTGCTGGTCTTCTGGCGTTATAACCAGCCGCTCTGAGGCAACGCCTTACGGTCATCGTCGAGAGTCTGATGGGTTATCCACTGCAGTCTTAAATCTGTTGAAGTGGCAAATGGATTTCGTCTGACTATCCTGAAAAGACGTCTATCCTCTCTGTTAGAGGTCTTTCTTGGCCTACCAGACCTATGCCTGTCATTGACATCATTGGTTTGACCATGTTTGACAATCAAACGAGTGATAACACTGTGATGACGACCCATTTGTCTTGCAATGGCCCTGCATGACATGCCAGCATTTTTCATGCCTATCACTTGCCATCTTTCAGCGTTTGTTAACTTTCTCCTCACCATGGCTGATTTTCAACCTCTATTGGAAGGGGAATCTCACACAGGAGCAAAATGCAACCACATGTCTGAAACTTGAATTTCACTATTTATAGGGTAGGGGAACTGCAGCAACACGTAAAGCACGCTTTCCTTGTGGTATCTGGACAAATTTGGGTTCATGAAACTATGGAAGCCTAATTCAGTCATACATCATCATATTTCGTATTTCTGATTCCCACACGTGAAATCAAGAGACTATGAATATGGTGGCACTTAACTTTTGTGCATGTGTATATTTGATGTTTTGTAAATATGAAATTTGGTATTAGTAATCTGGGGCTATTTATCTCAGTGTTGGACATTTGGTTTTTCTGTACTTATGTGTAATGCAGTGATTAGGAACATTTTTGTCAGCAAGGCGTGGCAGTTTATGTACATCAAAAGTACCACTGTGTGCATCATACGAGACTTAGTTTACGACATATCACTATAATTACTGCGATCCACAAATCAAGTTTATCCACAAATAAATAAACATGGCAGTAAATTCAGATATATTGCATATCATTTTGAGACACTCCCCACCAATGGAAGACATAATCCAGATTAAGGATTAACTGCTGCTATTGTTTCCAGCAATATTTGGTAAATGAATAAATGGCCAACTTTATTAATCAACTGTACCTTTGTCATACAGAGAACTCTTGACGTTGAGTTTCACTCTCTTGGCATTGGTGAGGCCAGAGATCTGCTTCTCGGAGAGAATATTTACACTTAATCCATCAATCTGTAATACAGAAAAAAACATTAATAACATATTTAAGTTTACAAATATAATACATTGAACCTGGTCTCCATAAGAGTTTGAAGATTTCTCAGTCAAACAGAAATAATTCTCTCTGGGATTTTCGAAAGGTTTTGTCAGATATGTTTATTGTCTTCATATTAAACTGGTACTGGTACTAACATCTCAATATACTATAATTCACTGCTCACTGTTTTGAATACTTCTGTTTGTGACATTCCTTTTATTATACAGTAAAATGAAAAATATACAAGGTAGTCCATGGAAAGTTGATGACACGGGTAAACAACCTTCATGATGCAGTCTCCCTTCTTGAGGCCGGCCTTGTCAGCAGGAGAGTCAGCCTCCACATCCTTCACAATGATGTCCCCAGCTACTGGATCCCTGCAACACAGGAAAGGGCACATTGACTGCACAACACAGGACAGGGCAAACTGACTGCACAACACAGGATACACACACTGACAGCACAAAACAAGATACACACTGACTTCACAACACTGGATAAACACACTGACAGCACAACACTGGATACACACACTGACAGCACAACACAAGATACACACACTGACAGCACAATGATGCATGTGTACTGCATGTGATGCACTGTATACTGCATGTGATGCACTGTATATTGCATGTGACACTGTATACTGCATGTGGTGCGCAGTATACTGCATGTGGTGCACTGTATACTGCATATGATGCACTGTGTACTGCATGTGATGCACTGTATACTGCATGTGATGCACTGTATATTGCATGTGACACTAAATACTGCATGTGATGCACTGTATACTGCATATGATCCACTGTGTACTGCATGTGATGCACTGTATACTGCATGTGATGCACTGTATATTGCATGTGATGCACTGTGTACTGCATGTGACACTGTATACTGCATGTGGTGCACAGTATACTGCAAGTGATGCACTGTATACTGCATATGATGCACTGTGTACTGCATGTGATGCACTGTATATTGCATGACACTAAATACTGCAAGTTATGCACTGTATACTGCATATGATGCACTGTGTACTGCATGTGATGCACTGTATATTGCATGTGACACTAAATACTGCAAGTGATGCACTTTATACTGCATATGATGCACTGTGTACTGCATGTGATGCACTGTATACTGCATGTGGTGCACAGTATACTGCATGTGGTGCACAGTATACTGCATGTGACACTGTATACTGCATGTGGTGCACAGTATACTGCATGTGACACTGCATACTGCCTGTGGTACACAGTATACTGCATGTGATGCACTATATACTGCATATGACACTTCATACTGCATACTGCACCCACTGACAGCACCACACAGGATACACATACTGGCAGCACAACTGCATGTGACACTAAATGCTGCAAGTGATGCACTGTATACTGCATGTGATGCACTGTATACTGCATGTGGTGCACTGTATACTGCATGCAACATTGTATACTGCATGTGGTGCACTGTATACTGCATGCGACACAGTATATTACATGTGGTGCACAGCATACTGCATGTGACACAGTATACTGCATGTGGTGCACAGTATACTGCATGTGGTGCACTGTATGCTGCATGTGGTGCACTGTATACAGCATGTGGTGCACAGTTTACAGCATGTGACACTGTATACTGCATGCGACACAGTATATTGAATGTGGTGCACAGTATACTGCATGTGACACTGTATACTGCATGTGGTGCACACTATACTGCATGTGATGCACTGTATGCTGCATGTGACACTGTATACTACATGTGGTGCACTGTATACAGCATGTGACACTGTATACTGCATGTGTTGCACAGTATACTGCATGTGGTGCACTGTATGCTGCATGTGACACTGTATACTACATGTGGTGCACAGTATACAGCATGTGGTGCACTGTATACTGCATGAGACACAGTATATTGAATGTGGTGCACAGTATACTGCATGTGACACTGTATACTGCATGTGGTGCACACTATACTGCATGTGGTGCACTGTATACATCATGTGACACTGTATACTGCATGTGTTGCACAGTATACTGCATGTGGTGCACTGTATGCTGCATGTGACACTGTATACTACATGTGGTGCACAGTATACAGCATGTGGTGCACTGTATACTGCATGCGACACAGTATATTGAATGTGGTGCACAGTATACTGCATGTGACACTGTATACTGCATGTGGTGCACACTATACTGCATGTGGTGCACTGTATACAGCATGTGGTGCACAGTATACTTCATGTGGTGCACAGTATACAGCATGTGGTGCACAGTATACTTCATGTGGTGCACTGTATGCTGCATGTGACACTGTATACTACATGTGACACTGTATACTGCATGTGGTGCACTGTATGCTGCATGCGACACAGTGTACTGCATGTGGTGCACTGTATGCTGCATGTGGTGCACTGTATACTGCATGTGGTGCACTATACAGCATGCGACACAGTATACTGCATGTGGTGCACTGTATGCTGTATGTGACACTGTATACTACATGTGACACAGTATATTGCATGTGGTGCACAGTATACTGCATGTGACACAGTATACTGCATGTGGTGCACTGTATGCTGCATGTGACACTGTATACTGCATGTGACACTGTATACTACATGTGGTGCACAGTATACAGCATGTGGTGCACTGTATACTTCATGTGGTGCACAGTATACTGCATGTGACACTGTATGCTACATGTGGTGCACAGTATACAGCATGTGGTGCACTGTATACAGCATGTGGTGCACAGTATACTGCATGTGACACTGTATGCTACATGTGGTGCACAGTATACTGCATGTGATGCACTGTATACTGCATGTGGTGCACTGTATACTGCATGCAACATTGTATACTGCATGTGGTGCACTGTATACTGCATGCGACACAGTATATTACATGTGGTGCACAGCATACTGCATGTGACACAGTATACTGCATGTGGTGCACAGTATACTGCATGTGGTGCACTGTATGCTGCATGTGGTGCACTGTATACAGCATGTGGTGCACAGTTTACAGCATGTGACACTGTATACTGCATGCGACACAGTATATTGAATGTGGTGCACAGTATACTGCATGTGACACTGTATACTGCATGTGGTGCACACTATACTGCATGTGATGCACTGTATGCTGCATGTGACACTGTATACTACATGTGGTGCACTGTATACAGCATGTGACACTGTATACTGCATGTGTTGCACAGTATACTGCATGTGGTGCACTGTATGCTGCATGTGACACTGTATACTACATGTGGTGCACAGTATACAGCATGTGGTGCACTGTATACTGCATGAGACACAGTATATTGAATGTGGTGCACAGTATACTGCATGTGACACTGTATACTGCATGTGGTGCACACTATACTGCATGTGGTGCACTGTATACATCATGTGACACTGTATACTGCATGTGTTGCACAGTATACTGCATGTGGTGCACTGTATGCTGCATGTGACACTGTATACTACATGTGGTGCACAGTATACAGCATGTGGTGCACTGTATACTGCATGCGACACAGTATATTGAATGTGGTGCACAGTATACTGCATGTGACACTGTATACTGCATGTGGTGCACACTATACTGCATGTGGTGCACTGTATACAGCATGTGGTGCACAGTATACTTCATGTGGTGCACAGTATACAGCATGTGGTGCACAGTATACTTCATGTGGTGCACTGTATGCTGCATGTGACACTGTATACTACATGTGACACTGTATACTGCATGTGGTGCACTGTATGCTGCATGCGACACAGTGTACTGCATGTGGTGCACTGTATGCTGCATGTGGTGCACTGTATACTGCATGTGGTGCACTATACAGCATGCGACACAGTATACTGCATGTGGTGCACTGTATGCTGTATGTGACACTGTATACTACATGTGACACAGTATATTGCATGTGGTGCACAGTATACTGCATGTGACACAGTATACTGCATGTGGTGCACTGTATGCTGCATGTGACACTGTATACTGCATGTGACACTGTATACTACATGTGGTGCACAGTATACAGCATGTGGTGCACTGTATACTTCATGTGGTGCACAGTATACTGCATGTGACACTGTATGCTACATGTGGTGCACAGTATACAGCATGTGGTGCACTGTATACAGCATGTGGTGCACAGTATACTGCATGTGACACTGTATGCTACATGTGGTGCACAGTATACAGCATGTGGTGCACTGTATACTTCATGTGGTGCACTGTATGCTGCATGTGACACTGTATGCTGCATGTGACACTGTATATTGAATGTGGTGCACAGTATACTGCATGTGACACTGTATACTACATGTGGTGCACAGTATACAGCATGTGACACTGTATACTGCATGTGGTGCACAGTATACTGCATGTGGTGCACAGTATACTGCATGTGACACTGTATACTGCATGTGGTGCACAGTATACTGCATGTGACACTGCATACTGCATGTGGTGCACTGTATACTGCATGTGGTGCACTGCATACTGCATGTGGTGCACAGTATACTGCATGTGACACTGTATACTGCATGTGGTGCACAGTATACTGCATGTGACACTGCATACTGCATGTGGTGCACTGTATACTGCATGTGACACTGTATACTACATGTGGTGCACAGTATACAGCATGTGGTGCACTGTATACTTCATGTGGTGCACTGTATGCTGCATGTGACACTGTATATTGAATGTGGTGCACAGTATACTGCATGTGACACTGTATACTGCATGTGGTGCACTGTATGCTGCATGTGACACTGTATACTACATGTGGTGCACTGTATACAGCATGTGGTGCACAGTATACTTCATGTGGTGCACTGTATGCTGCATGTGACACTGTATATTGAATGTGGTGCACAGTATACTGCATGTGACACTGTATACTGCATGTGGTGCACTGTATGCTGCATGTGACACTGTATACTGCATGCGACACAGTATATTGAATGTGGTGCACAGTATACTGCATGTGACACTGTATACTGCATGTGGTGCACTGTATGCTGCATGTGACACTGTATACTACATGTGGTGCACAGTATACTGCATGTGGTGCACAGTATACTGCATGTGACACTGTATACTGCATGTGGTGCACTGTATGCTGCATGTGACACTGTATGCTACATGTGGTGCACAGTATACAGCATGTGGTGCACAGTATACTTCATGTGGTGCACTGTATGCTGCATGTGACACTGTATACTACATGTGACACTGTATACTGCATGTGGTGCACTGTATGCTGCATGCGACACAGTATACTGCATGTGGTGCACTGTATGCTGCATGTGGTGCACTGTATACTGCATGTGGTGCACTGT